ATATATATATATATATATCAAAATGCATGTGGGTACTCAATTGAAAGCTCTCGATGAATGTAACATCGGGATGAGCTTATATCTTCAAAAAAGTCAATAGTTAAGAAAGTACAGTGCAATTTAACAAAAGTCATTATTTAATAAAGCAAAATTTTATTTATTTATATTTCACAAGTCACGGCAGTCACATAGTGACTGTAAGGTTGCTAGTATTAAATAATTGGAGTAATAATTAAATAATAATCAATTTTTATAGTTTTTATAATAAATAAAATTAACAAATTAATTACAGGTATACTCTGACTTGACGTATAAATTGACATTGGAGTTCCCACACAGTTATCCATACAGCGCACCTGTTGTACGTTTTATAACCCCTTGTTTCCATCCTAACGTCGATCATCTTGGAAATATATGTCTGGACATACTCAAAGACAAATGGTCTGCTCTCTACGATGTTCGCACTATTTTACTATCAATCCAATCACTTCTGGGAGGTATATAAAATAAAAATTATAACATTAAAAATAAATTTATTATAGTTTGAAAAATTTTATTTTAATAAAAATTTTTTTTTTTTCCAGAACCTAACAATGACAGCCCGTTAAATGTACAAGCAGCAGAGCTTTGGAGCGACCAAACAAAATTCAAAAAACATTTAATGGAGGAGTATCACAAAGAAGCTGAGCGCAGCTCACGGGATTCATGATAAGCAAATTTAAAAACATTCATTTTTAATCAATACCATCTTTCATAACTCATCATATAAGATATTAAATTGAATTAAATAAAAAATAAAAAATCACAAAAAAAAAAAAATGAATAAATAAGAGCTAACACTCTAATTTATTAAATTCTAAGATTCGTGGCTGGAAATGTATGTGGAGTTTATTTAAATAAATAGTAGTGTTAAATTGAAAGCCACTTGAGTCATAAATCAGATAAAATTATTAATTTAAAAAAATTAATAATATTAAATAACTTAAATATTAAATTAAGATTAAAATTAAATAATAAATTAAATCAAACTCTGATTATTGTAAAATGACAGATTAAATTATGACTTCTTTTTTTTTTTTTATTAGAAAAATTTTTGAAAGAACACCAATTATTTATTTCATTTTATACTAAGTATTGACAATGCCATACTCAATAGTTGACATTTATTAATAATTATTAGTATAAAACGTAATTACTTTCTACTTCAATACTATATCATTGTCATTTTACTCTGAAATAAATATTTTCAATGTATTAATTATGTTTTATTATATTTTTATCCTGTTAATTTAATAATTTTTTTTATTTTATTAAATTTAAGAAATTTTTTTTATAAAACAGGATAAATTATTAAAAAGTAATACTTAGAATATTTTTTGTATAAGAATTGACCTCACGCTTCAAGGCCTGCAACTTGATAACATTAAAAAAGATAAATCCCAGCAACATCTGAATTGAAAATAAATAAAAGTATAATCAATTTTGTTGAACAGCAAAATGTTGAATAAATTTAGCAGAATTTTAGCGTGTAAGTCACTGTTTAGTTTTTGTAGAATTAATGCAAGTGGAAAAAATATTGCAGCTGTTCGAAATTTATCGATCACGTCCACTAGACTCGAGGTACTTGTTTTGTATACTATACATTTATGCATGATATATTTCGTATTACGTAAGATGAAAGGTATGGAATTAAACACTTGCCAGTTAATTTTGTTTCTTTCATAGGAGTTTACGCTACTTAAATTTATTAATGAAATTAATATTGTTTTTTTTTTAGGAAAAAAAAATTAATGTTGATGGTATTGATATTAACTATCTGAAAACTGGAGCGGGAAGTCATCCCGTGCTCTTGTTACCCGGAGCTGTTGGTAATATAATTAAAATTTCAATTTTGAATGACACTGAAGTTGACAGATACTAGAAATTTTTTTATTATTTTTGCTGCAATGAAATTTATTATAAAAGATTCATCGTGTAAAAATTAAGAAAATTTTTAGAGGAAATTTTAAAAAGTATTTTTGATATAAAATTTTTCTTTATTAAACCTAATGATTTTTTGTTAAATTGCACTGTACTTTCTTAACTATTGACGTTTTTAAAGATATAAGCTCATCCCGACGGTACACTCGTCAAGAGCTTTCATTTGAGTACCCACATGCATTTTTATATATTTTTCATATATACATATGTATAATATATATAAATATATGAAAAATTGATGTGGGTACTCAAATGTAAAGGTCTCGATGAGATTTATGTCAGAATGAGCTTATATCTTTAAAAATGTCAATAGTTCACTAGATACAAGGTTATTTTTTAATTATGTTAAATTGCACTGTACTTTCTTAACGACTGACATTTTTAAAGATATAAGCTCATCCTGATATTACACTCATTAAGACCTTTCATTTGAGTACCCACATGCATTTTTGATATATTTTTCATATATACATATATATAAATATATAAAATATATGAAAAATTGATGTGGGTACTCAAATGAATGGTCTCGATGAGTGTAACATCAGGATGAGCTTATATCTTTAAAAATGTCAATAGTTTACAAGATACAAGGTCATTTTATAATTATAAATCTAGAGACAGAGAATTTTCGAATGCAGCCTAAATACTTATCATCATCATAAATTAATTATCAGTGAGAATGATATGAAATCTTGAAAAGACACAAATTCAAGTCAAGACCTTTGCAATAACACTAAATTTCACAAAAAAAACCGACTTTATAAAAATAATTTTTCAAATTCGCACTTACAATTTTTTTCATAAAATTTTAATTAAAAAAGTCAAAAAAATTTTAATAAATAAATTTTAACTTCAGTGTCTCCAAATCTTATTCAAACAAGAATAATTAATTTTATATAAATTCTAGGAACTATTTGGACAGATTACAAGCCACAAATTGAAGGTCTCAACAAGAGTGAGTTCACAATAGTAGCATGGGATCCTCCAGGTTACGGAAAGTCGCGACCACCGGAAAGAGAATTCCCAGCCGATTTCTTCGAGCGTGACGCTAAATACGCCTATAATTTAATGAAGATGTTGGGCTTCGCCGAGTTTTCTCTTGTTGGTTGGAGTGACGGCGGGATTACTTCCTTAATTCTCGCTGCGAACTATCCTCAGAGCGTACAAAAGATGGTCGTGCATGGATCCAATGCTTTTATACTGCCGCATGAGATGAAGATATACGAAAGTATTTCTTCTTTTTTTTTTTATTTTATTTTTTTTTTTTAAACAGACTAGAATAAAATAAATTATCGGTATTAATTTAATTTAATTTTAAAAGGTACTAAAAATATAGACACTTGGTCAGAGAGAATGCGCGCTCCTCTTATTGCTATCTATGGAGAAGAATACTTCAGAAAAACCTGGACTGCTTGGGTTGAAGCTATGGACAAAATTTATAAAAATAATAATGGAGATATTTGCAAGAATTCTGTTTCTAAAATAAAATGTCCTACTTTAATTGTTCATGGAAAAAAAGATGTCCTGGTTGATCAATCACATCCTGAGTACTTAAAAAATAATATTTCTAATTCAAGGTTTGTATTTTTTATTTATTTCATTATTTTATAATTAATATAAGTGATTTTATTTTTTAAAAATTTGTTTATTTTTTTTTAATTTATTAATTTTTTTTAATTATTAAATTTATTAATTGTTTAATTTATTAATATTTTTAAATTTTATTTATTTTTTAGAGTTGAAGTTTTTGAAAAAGGAGCTCACAATCTGCATTTAAGATACCCTGAAGAATTTAATAAATTAATAACTCAATTTTTATTACAATAAAAATAATTTTTTTTTTTATTGGAAAAAAAGTTTTTAATAAAAAAATCTGTCCTAATTATTTTTTCACAAATAAATATTTTGATTATTTTCAATTATGTACTCCATTTATGTTCCTGATACATATTTAGCGTAAAGATAAATACATTTAAAAATCAAATGAAACGATAAAAATTATCAGTGCTAAATATTTAATTAGCTAGAAATTCGATCATGTATTACACTAGCGGTATGTAGTTTTAAAAAAAATTTAAACACGCAATATGTTACTTAAAAAGTCACTGAATTTTTTCCTTAATAACTCCATTTTTTTCCATCAAATAAAATTCAGAAAAATTCATGTAGGTATTCGAAATTTATCACTTACAAGTGATATTGAGGTAATTATTTTTTTTAATAAATATAATAGTAATTGTAAATTATTTTTAATGATGAAAAATTTTTTTAGGAACGAAAAGTAAATGTTAAGGGTGTTGATATTAATTATATAAAAACTGGAGCTGGAAAACAAACTATTTTTTTATTAACAAGTACTTTGGGTAAATAATTTTATTTTATTTACTAATTTTAATAAATTTACTTTTAATGATTTTAATAAATTTTATTTTTAATAATTTTAATATATTAATTTATTATTTAATAATTAATTTATCACTTTTTTAATTTTCAGGAAGTATATGGACTGATTTTAAGCCTCAAATTGAAGGCTTGAATAAAGAAAAATTTACAATAATCGCTTGGGACCCGCCAGGCTATGGAAAATCTCGTCCACCAGACCGAGACTGTTCAGGAGACCATTTTGCTCGTGATGCTGATTATGCATACGAATTGATGAAAACTCTGGGTTTTTCCAAATATTCTCTTGTCGGGTGGAGCGGAGGTGGAATTACTTCAATAATTGCCGCCAGTAAATACCCTCAGTGTATTGAAAAGCTCGTTTTAGAAAGCACTGGATTTTATGTAACTGCTGATGAACTAGTAATTTATCAAAGTAAGTATTTTTAAGATTTTATAATAAAATTACTATGAAAAAAATTAATTTTTTAATTAATGTTTTAGGTATGAGAGACATTAAGAATTGGTCTGAAAAAATGAAGGGACCTTTGATAGCTATTTACGGGGAAGATTATGTGACCAAAGTTTGGGCATCTTGGTTAGACTCAATGGTTGATGCTTATGAAAATAAAAATGGGGATCTCTGTAGCGAACATATTTTTAAAGTAAAGTGTCCTACGTTGATCATACAGGGAAGAAAAGATGTTATTGTTTATCCAAAGCACGCTGTTGTAATGAATGAAATCATCCGTAATTCAAGGTATATCATTTTTTTAATTAATTTAATCATTATTGGTAATTTTAATTATTATTTATATTGTTTTAGACTCAAAATATTTGAAGATGGAGGACACAATGTGCATTTAAAATATCCTGATGAATTTAATAAATTAATTACAGATTTTTTTTTAGAAGAAAATTAATAAGTCTTGATCATAAAATTTTTTATAATTTTATAGTTATAAAATTATTATAAAAAAAATTTATTAAAAAAATTCTATATGTAAAAATTGAAAAAAAAAAAAAAAAAAAAAAAAAAAAATTATTTGTAGAAATTTTAAGAAGCATTTTTTATTGTAATTGACTTGTTAAAAAACTTTAATGAATTTTTATAATTTTTGGCAGTCAGAAAAAAATATTATACTTTTTAATTTTTACAAAGAAGAAATAATTTTTTTTTAATTGTTGACAATTTATTCTGTTTTAGATTGAAAATTTTAAAACAAAATACGTTTATAAAATTTTTCAATCAGTTTAATAAAATTTTTTATTAAAAAAAAATTAAAAAACAAAAATTAGTGCATTTATTAATTTGTAATAAAAAATTTAGTTATAAGTAAACTGTTTAAATTTTAATAAATTTTAACCAGACAAATTATAATACATCTAAACTACTTGTAAAGTCGTAAACGGTTGATTGCATTTGATAAATCTTATTAACGGAGCAGCAGGAGGGTAAAGTACTCAAATACGTCACACCCTTCCGTTTATTTTTCTCTGCATTGCAGTTCTTCTCTTCTAATTTTTATCTTTCAATTTCAAGTTTTATCTCTGACTAATTATAACTTACAATTAAAAATGATTAAACTAACATTTACTTTTTGGATGCTACTTATTATTATTTAAAAAAGTCTAGAATGATATGGTAGAGTGGATTCGCGTTCAGTGAGCCCGAGACAGGGTTGGGTGACCAGAAAAATCGATTCAATTGGCGATATCCTCCAATGCATCAACATCATTTACAATTATTATTTATATTTACCCAACATACAAATATTTAAAGTAGCAATTACTTTTTTTTTATATTGTCAATAAAGTCGAAGAAATAAAATGCGCTCTGATGCAGTAGAAAGTTGAATTTTGTGCTACTTGTAATGCTTGTGATCGCTCCTTTTATGTCAAGAGAGTTGAATTCAAAATTTATTTCCTTATACAAATATGTAAAACACATTTAATCATCCGTCAATATTTCTTCTTGATTATTAATTACAATTTTACAAGAAGAAATAATTAATTTATTTTTTTTAATTAGACATTTCAATTAATAGTAATATTTATTTAAAAATAAATATTATTAAATATCACGGTCATATTTTAAATACTGTATAATATATAAATCAATAAACTCAAGTGACATCAGTTAGTATGAACATAAAAATTATTTTTAATTAATTTTATTTATTTAAATTTTAATAAAATTTAAATCTGTATCATTTAAAAAATAAAAAAAAATTATTGATTTATTTATTTGTAATATATATGATACGATCAATGTGAAAGGAAGCTTCCTGAAAGCGTAGGTGACATGCGTGGAAATTTTCACCAAGGCGTATTTTTATTTTGTAATTAAAAATTTTAAAATACCGCAATTGCTTGATAAATTGAAGAATAAGCAATTGAAGAAAGGAAAATTAATCGATAAAAAATTTTGTGAGCATTTAAAAGTGTTTATATGGCTTGGCCAGAGCTACCAAATATGGTCAGCATGTTTCTCGCCTTGATTCATACTGATCTCCTCGACTCCCTCTCTCTTTGCTCAAAACTTTTATTTATTTTTTCTGCAGTATATGTCCAGCCTTTAAAACCGGCAGTGCAGGGTCCAGTTTAAAAATAAGAGTTTTAAAACCTCCAGCGAATTCCCACATGTTTTTATCGCCGTAACCTTTGACTCTGATTATTATTTAACGTAATAGTGTTGCTGAAAAATATATATTTTTATTTCAATTAACGTAACGGCATTTAGATGATAATTCATTATCAAGTGTTGGAAGAAAATTTTAAAAATTTCTTCCTACGCCTCGTAAAAATTAAATTTTTTTTCAACTTAACTAATGAATGAATTTTGCAGTAAGCAATTAATGAATTGACTAAAAAAAAAAAATTATTAATGAAGATGATAAGTTTTAAAATTAAAATAAGGAAGATAAATATTATGACTCATATATAGCACGTAGACATGTAGTAACACACCTTTATCCTCAATTTTTTTTTTCATTCATTCTCTTCCATTATATTTACTTCTATATTCTCCATACAATTCCAATCTGTAAGAATAAATAATAATAATAATAATAATGTATATTATTAAGAGAATAAGAAAAATTTTGTATCCAGGATAGTCATATGATAAAATGACCTTGTATCTTGAAAACTATTGACATTTTTAAAGATATAAGCTCATCCCGATGTTACACTGATCGAGACCTTTAATTTGAGTACCCACATCAATTTTTTATATATTTTATATATTATATATATGTATATATGAAAAATATATCAAAAATACATGTGGGTACTCAAATGAAAGCTCTTGATTATAAGGTCATCCCGGCATTACACTCATCGAGACTTTTCATTTGAATACCCACATCAATTTTTCATATATTTTATACATTATATATATGTATATATGAAAAATATATCAAAAATGCATGTGGGTACTCAAATGAAAGCTCTTGAAGAGTGTAACATCGGGATGAGCTTATATCTTTAAAAGCGTCAATATTTAAGAAAGTGCAGTGCAATTTAACAAAAGTCATTATTTAATAAATCAAATTTTTATTTATTTATAGTTCACAAGTCTCAGCAGTCACATAGTAACTGCAAGGTTGCTAGTAATAATAATAATAATAAAAAATTTGTTTTTTAAATCTACGTAAGAGTTTAAATAATATAAACAAAAAAGTAAAATTTTACATCACGACATCACCTTCATTCTCGGAGTATTTTCTTAACCGAGAAGACGATACCTTGTACGGTAACTTGGATTGTGACTGCGTTATTCCAGAGCGATATAAAGTAAAGACTCTGTACATAACGAGAAAGCGGGATTTAAAATTGACCTCGTTATATTCCTACATACATGCTGTTATATATAATATATAATATATTCAGTGCATTCATTAGTATCCATACTTTTGTACATATTAGACACCGAAGGCAATAACAATACTTAATATTAAGTAGATAAAAAATAAATAAATAAAGTATGATTGTCTATATCTTGTTAGACCTATAGACATAATCAATACCGGTGCCAACACATGTACAAACTTGATGGCTTACTAACACGAACACTTCATTGAACGCGCTTCAATATATATATATTTGTCAGAGTCCTAGAAAATCTCCTCAATGTCCTGCGCATACGCTTTAAAAAAAACCCATGACTCACACTTCTATTTTTACCTAAAATATTTAAAAATCGATATAAATATTCATACTGTTTTTATAAAATTTTATTTATTTACCAGAATATCAATTTTAATGATAAACCAAGAGTATTGTATTGAAATTACAATCCAAAAGTAAATGTGATGTCATTCGTAGCTGTTGGTAGCTTTATACGGAGCAATCAAGTGACCAAATGAAGGACAATGAACATGAGATGTATTAAATCGAGCATGTCATGTCTATTATTTATATTACTTATATATATTCGTATGTATTGCGCAAGACTCTCATTTTATTTAGATTTATCAAACCACAAGATGTTAAAGGAAAAAAATGAAAAATTAAGTTAATTAAATTAAATAAAAAGTATGTAATGAGAGCTCTATTTAAAGAGTAATACTTTTTTATAGAGTCCCGTTACAGCTGATGGTCGGATGTTCTACGTCATCACCGTGGATCATGGTCTTCAAACTCAAGTGATCATCGAGTTCTTACTACTCCAGTATCTGAGACTGTTGAGCTAAAACAACTGAAAAAATTTAAGAGATTAATATTATAGTCTTCACATGAAAATATAGCGACGTTTAATTTTCCTTTGGCTTTTACAGTGGAGTCAGCTTGGTCATGATCCATACAAGGTAACGTCTACCTAAGAGACTGTCGTCAGTCGAAATTCTTGTTGGGTTTACTGCTGAGTACCACGCCTTTATTATTATTATTATTTAATTTATTAAATTTTGTTATTTTATTATTTAATAATTTTATTAAACAATTTTATGTTGTAGGGGATGTTGTAGGAGTATTTAGTAGCATAACATTAAAAATTTTATATTTGCTATTAATTTGTATAATGTGTTATTCCGTCCAAGCAAAGGTGGCAGGTCGCGGGTTCGATCCCCAGCGGTTGTGTGCAAAAAAGGATTTTCCCATTCGACCCACTGATTAAGTAGCGGGGATAGACGGAGGGTATCCTTAACAACCCTTTTGACGACATTTCAGCCAACCAATTAGAGTCTGCCATGGGCTACTTTTTTAGGAACCATTCCGACAAAGTTGTATAGATTTAAAATATCTACACAATATAGAAAAATCTATTTTTTTCCTCGCTGGGAATCGAACCCGCGCTCGCTGCTCGAGTGGCATGAATGGAACAACGCATTGAACCATTCTGTCAACATCGAGGGTAGGCAAGGTCCCAGGTTATATTCAAGTTATCCAACAAGTGATTAACGAAAATGTTTTAAAATAATTTTTAACTAGTTGTAAAAAAAGAATTAAACAAATATTTTTTAAAGATTGTACTTAAAGTTTTTCAAGTTTTTTTTTACAAATGAAAACTTTCTTTTATTTTTTTGTAATAACTTTTTTAATAAAAATAAAATCCTAAAAATTTTTAGATATCGGCTAACGTAATTAGTAGATTTCATAGAAATCTAACTATTGCATTGGTCCTCATGACGGAACTTTTGAAAAATTTTGCTATATTTCGACTCAGCTCGTCAAGCGGATTCAGAAAATGCATATGGTTCAAAAGTTTATATATGTATGTATATATATATATTAGAGTGTGCAAAAAGGTAACTCCCGTGGAGGACCTTTTAGAATTGGAATTTTGAGTTCCGCTTTTAAAAGCAGCTCTGTTTAGGTCTTTCCTAAGATATTTTGGAGTGAGACGATAAATTTGATTTTCATAGAATTTTTTAACAGGAGGTTTAGTTGGACACTTCCGGCCAAAATTTGAATTTTCAGC